CATCCTGTTCCTGTTAGCCCACCCCTGTAACCTATCAAGATCCCTCTGCAATCTCTCACTCCCTGCTAGCGTGCTCACCTCCCCCCAGATTTTGGTGTCATCATCGAATTTAAACAGGTTACTTTCCACCCCATCATCCAGATCGCTGATGAAGAAATTGAACAGCGCAGGCCCCAGGACCGAGCCCTGGGGGACTCCGCTGCCCACCTCCCCCCAGGTCAAATATGACCCATCCACCACCACTCTCTGAGTGCGACCCCTCAGCCAATCTGCAATCCATGTCTTTGGTGCATACGGCCCGGAAGCATCAAACCACCGCTACCCACTGTACAAACAGCTTGGAACTGTTTTATTTTGAGGCCCTTGTTTTATTTTAGTTTAACTGCTCTATCTCCCTATTATTATCTTTTCCTTCTGTCGCATTTCTGCTTCTCCTCAGACGCCCTCTTCCCACACAATTGGTTTTATTTGCTTAAAAAAAAGGGTCTCAGGAGATGATCTTTTACTTTTCATGTATTTAAAAGGGTGGAATTCAGACTGTATGCTACATGGGGTATGGAGCATCTCACTCTCTTCTGCATTTGTACAGCACCTAGCACAATGGGGTCCTGGTCCATGACTGGGACTTCTAGACTTTATTGCAATACGTATCATTGTTATTAACAATAAATAACAACTTCAGCAATGGCTTTAATACGTATAAAGTCCCAAAAGACTTGGGTTAACTGGTGCTACTTCTCGCTCTGTGATATTGAATCCCATCAACAGAAGCACTCCCATTGCAGCCCCCCTAGTATGCACAGAACGGGGTTGCTGATGGGTCCTTTCCCGTAAGGGGCCTGCCTCACTCACTTGCATCCAAGATTCATGGATATTCTGGGACGGCTGCAATCTCTTGTCCCTCTCTGATTTTACCAAAGCTATTGAGGAGGGTCAGGATGAGGTAGAGGCACACCTGGGAAGTCCTTTGCTTATTTTTACAGAGGGTGACTTTGCAGGACCAACACAGAAATAGAAATATTCTTTACATTTTCAAACATGAATACAATAGATCCGTAACAACAGAAGATGCCATTCTTCCCCCATGAATGCCAACAGGAAGCCTCCAAATGGTCTGTGTGGGGCCCAGGACTATACCACATCTCTTGTAAATGGTTCTTATTAGTTTTTATTCACTACACCTACGCTCTTTACTGGGGTAAGGTGAGCTTCTTTATAAGCAAACATGCTGATAACAAGTGTAAAGAGAGCTAACATTTTTTAAACAGTTAAGCTCTCCTGGCATCCGTCCTAAGTGTTATATTTGTCCAAGTTATAATGTGAACTGCCTAAAGAAGGGACCTGCACTTCGTAGACAACAGCAGTAGTGGGGAAAGGATGACATACAAACCTAAGCTAGGAAGGACTTAGAAGAAAAACATTTTGAGAGAGAAATACCAGACAGATGGGTAGATAGATCTTAATGAGCCATATGGCCCTTTTCCAACTCAACGTTTTCTTATGCTGCTTATTTGTATAGAAACGACTGAATCCTGTCCTGAAGGGGCCCACGGAAATTAAGTATCAGGATCCCACTGATCTTTGGATGCAAGCTGATACCTGATGACCCCCCATAAGTGCCTGTAAAAAGCCCGGCCTAGAGTAATAGTTTAGGCTAAATCTAAGCTTCTGTGGGACACAGACGGTAAATGTCCCTTGTGCAGCGCAGAAGAGCAGTCGAGAAGGCAACAGGACTGCCTCCCTTCTTGTAAGTGCCCCATGCAGTCTCTCACTATTATAGTCTGTGCACTCAGAAAAAGCACAGTCTGTTTTCCTGACTTGGCCCTGCAGGAAGAAGGCATGGCGCCCTCTCAGAAGTGGGGCCGTAACTCTGGCACCAGCAGGCTGAAGCATCCTAACGTGGTGTGCAGCCTTCTCGGTTTCCCTGAACTTCTCCTGGGGTAGTGCAATTTCACTGCACCTTCGGTGCCGGTAAGAGACTTCATGTAACAATTCATGAAAGCTGTAAGTAATCATTAGAGGAAATCATTTCATTTCAAACCTGCTTTCTTGCTAAATCCAAGACTGGCTGAAGTTGCTCAAAATGCCGTTTTCTGCTGAGCGGCACTTGTGACAAAATCCTAGTTTTCATTGAAAACTTTTATTAAAAAAACACAAGGGAAAAAATGGGGAAAACATCATTTGCATCAAGATTTTTCATGGGGGAGAATTTTGTTCTGACCGGCCCTTGTCAAAATCTCTGCAAAGGATAACTTTGGCCAACCCCTGTCAAATACAAAGAGAAGATGCTCTGGCAGACTAATTGGACTACGGCAAAAGCCATCTGTGTGTCTTAAATTTCCTCTCAGAGTACCATCACTTCACACCAAAAAAAAAGCCCACAGCATTTATGAATTAAATGCATTTTAAAATACAACATCCTAATATCCTGAAATAGATTACTAGCCGAGAAACAGAACAGCAGTGCTATCTGCTTCTACCAGCTCTGCAAGCCGGTGTCAGTGACAAATGGATGTGAGAATTGCATTACCATGCATGCATACGGTGATGTTACCTGGTCATATTGCAGGGCCTTGTGGGATACACTGGCATATTGAAGGCTCAAGCGATTCTTTTCTTGCACAGCATCCTTCAGTTCATTTTCCTAGAATAAAAGTAAAGGTATCAGAGGTTACTCATCTCCGTCACTGTCCATCCTAATAAACGCTTGTGCCTTAAATAATCAAAGGTTGTGCCCTACTGGATATTATCACACGCTTAAGTGTGCTATCGGGAGCAAGGCACTGAAAAAGTGTCAAGGTGCAGTTTGTGATTACAAAATGATTTTCCTAACAATGTTTTTCAGAGGAAATCTGGATCTGGAAAAGTGGAGGAGTGACTGGAGGGATGCCAGAGAGAGGAGAGGGAAAACAAGATGACCCCATGGAGTGAATGAAGATGGCTTGAATCATGGCTTGAAGATGGTCAAATTCTTGACCTCCCATTCCTTGAAAAACTTTGAAGGGGAAGACAATACAGCAGTAACCTCAAAGATAGAGCTCACAATCTACCAACCATACGCAAGGCAGAAAGTGAAATAATAGCTGCTGCTGGACCGAATATCATCATTTTCCAGAACCTGCGTTGAGTACTTTGAGAACACAGTGACAGGCACTACAGAGATATGGATAGGTAAGGACAATGAAATAATACAACTCCAGGCCTCAAGGCATCACCTACAGCTGTAACTAAATATCACAGTGGGAAGTTTGGCACGAAAGGAAGCACAAAATAGAGAAGAGCTAACAGGAATGCACAGACTTTGGGAGTGAAATTGGCTGTATCGGATGACAAAACTCAGATTTTATATAACTCCCGAATCAGGTAGTGTGTTCTGTCTGTTCTGACACACGCACATGCACGCGCACACACAGCTTGTCTTGCTTTTTGCAGGAGTTCAAGCAGGGTGACTCTATGAAATCAAAGTCTTTCAGAACAACTGCAAGGGAAATGGCTGTTAATAGCATTTGGCCAAGAAATAAAACTGGACTGAAAGGGCTTGGAAAAGGTAGTTACGTTGACCTGCCCATGAAGTTTTCAGCTGGGGGGAGAGGGAAGAAGGAAGAGAGGGAATGCTGATTATTTAATAATAAAATTACATCCAAGTATGCTAGTCGGGACTTTTTGTTCTTTTTTCAAGTCCTGACCTTGTCCCCTTGTAAAAGTGGCAATTGCAGGACTAGCGTTGGAGTTTTGCTGGTCTGGGTAAACTAAAGTTGTCCAATCCATAGTGTTTCATTAGAATATTACCCCTTTTTGTCGTTGTTGTTGTTGCAAAGCCCATTTTACCATATTTTGACCAACTGTGAGATTAGCTCTCAGTTGGTGGTGGGTGCTGGGCCAGTCAAAGGTCAGCTGGCTAACAGGCAATGCAAAGAAAAAACACTTCCGAGTTTCCTTGAGCCTGGATACAACGCCCCCATCCTCCCACGTCCAACACACGCACACTCCCACAGCCCAGTGCTAAATTGGAATGGGGTTGATGTTCACAGTATTTAATACATCTGAAGTCACTGCACATTACAACCCTCATCCTGACATCCTCATATTGGCACGGTATCAGTCTCTGACTTACTTTCAAATTCTCTTCTGACTGTTAATTGTAGAGTGCCGCTGCATGGAGCTAAAAAATAAAAAGGCTGAGGTTGCAGATTATTCAGAGTCTCCTGGCTGCAGATGTATCATCTCGCACATAAGGAGTTCAGTAATTACAATTTCTCAAGTTCTCTTAAATCTGTTGTTCAGGATGCAATTAGAAGTGGTAGTCATGCTCTGTGGGATGCTAGACAGTTCTGTGGGGCAAAACAATTTCCTAGCCCACAGCACATTTTAAAAGTTGTGAACTAAGTCAATAAATATTTTTAGGATATGAGCAAATGGCACAAGAGGAGGACAATCCCTTGGATATGTAGATACATCCTTTGTGTTACCACTTATTAGAAGGTACTTGTTCAGGACTGTGATTTTACACTGTACTTTACAAAAAGAAAAAAAGGATGTCAAACTTGCAAATGACTCCTACACTTCTTATATGGCCTGACCAAAATAATAATCATCTGTGCCGTAGGACCATTAATTATGACATAGAACTACATTAGGGTTGTACCCTAATATTTAAATATTTTTTAATATTTACATTTAAATATATATTTTTAAATCCTTAAAACGTATAACTTGCTTTAAATAGAGGTATGAACCTTCATAACAATGACTGATTGCACTGTAGCATGGCAAGCTCTTTGCAGCAGTAGGGCTGGAGTACTGGTGCGGCTGTGATGGTCCAGGAAACATTAGTGATGAACTATACAACTTCCCTATGAACCTAGCATTGCTCCCTTACAGAAATAGGAAACTGAAGAAAGATATGATGTTAACCTTACTTGTTTTGTGCTACCTATTTTCTTGCACGCATGAAATTACACATTAGGAGCTCACAAGTATTTACTACCATTTCACTATATTACAACATGATAGTGGGCCTACCTATGTGTACAAATGCTTCAGGGTGGGTTTACCCTTGAGTAAGTTACTTTCGAGTAAACCCCTCCTGGGCAGGTGTCTATACACACAGGGATGCAGGAGCAGACACAGGGCCTGGGCTGGGAGATTTTTATTGTGAAGTAGGGTCTAGGAGCTCCCTGCTGCTGGGGCAGGGGGACATTGTTCCCACCTGGGCTCTGGTGGTGGAGCCTGTCCCAGCAGCTGGTAGCTCCTGGGTGCAGGGAGCAACCTCCCATCCCCTGCTGCCTGGCTGACTGGGAGCACATTTGCTCTTGGTTGGCCGTCTACACATGCTGTACTGCACAGTACATAATCAGGAGTAAATATGCTACTTGTATTTACAGGTAGCAAATTTACTCATGGGTAGAGCAAATTACTGGGCAGTATGCAGCTGCACGTGTAGACGGTGACGCTTACTGTACAGTAATTAGCTCTAATCTTGAGTAATGTGTCTCATGCTGTCTCACTGTAACTAATGCTGCAAGCAGGAGGATTTTTCACAGATTTGAGAGCCAAAATGGACTATTATGCTCTACTCTGACCTCCTGCATAACTCAGGTCATACAACCTCACCCAACAACTTTGCCATCAAGCCCATAACACCACTGTGTGCTATAGCACTCCTTTGTAGGAAGGCAGACAGTCTTGATTTAAAAATTTTAAAGTGACAGAGAATCCACCACATCCCGTGGGTAAGCTGACCCAAGGGTTAATTGCCATCACTGTTAAAAAGCTGCATGCTATTTCTTGTCTACTGTCAGCTGCCAGCCCCTAGATCATGTTACATCTTCTCCAGTTAAAGAGGCATCTAGTCAAAGGAAGTGCATCCTGTTGCCTCCCTTCAACCTGAATGCAGGTGTTTGTAAGACATGGTCAAGGCACCTCTTAGCCTTCTCAGGAATAAAAAAAAAGATCCGTTCCCATTTTTGGAGTATAAACCTGCTTGTCATACGTGTTACATAACTATTACGGCACTTAGACAGAACACGAGCAAATTAAAGTAGTGTAACACTGGGTACTGTAAATAGCCTTGCAGCAGCAGCTTAATCTAATCTGTTTGTGATTGGAGGGAACTCAGGCAGAAGCCCCTCTCTACCCCATCCCTCCCCCCCACCAAAAAAAAACATATTCAGCAGCAAAATGTAGGCCACCATGCTTCAGACTGTTTTAAATCTCCAGATAGGAGACTGGTTTATGAGACAGAGGGCAGAGTAACTGGGCCGGTGGTTAATTTGACTTGAAGGAAGATATATTTTGCCATGTCATTTGCAAGGATGAATTCAAGAAAGATGGTAACCCTCTCCGTTTCACTGGTCCTTGGCTGTACGCCTGTTTGTTTTCACGTATGTTTGTTGTAGGCCGTGGCGGTAATTCCTTTCTTTGCATTATAGAATACGGTAATCTCCCGGCGTTTACCAAGATAAACAAGCATCTTTGTTCCCCAGCACAAAGGCATCCTTAGGGACCAAGATGCACCTGTGACAGGGGCAGAATTTTAGCCTGAACAACATGCAGAAAAAGAAACATTCACAACGGTGACAACAAAGCCCTGGCTCTGTCTTTTCCTGCAGTATCTGGCAAGAAGGTATAATTTATCTGAATGCTTTCCAGTGATGCCCCTCATAACAGTACCTACAAGGTATACGCACATAAACAGAAGTGGATTTTCATAATGTTAACCCCTTTTTACCGATGAGGATTAAATGACTTTTTCAAGGTCACATCGGAAATGTTTTGCAAAACCAGGAACGGAACCAATTTTCAGCCAAGGGCTTTAACTACAAGATCACCCTTCCTTTCAGCTGTAGGCTGTAGCCTACAAGAGCTCATGCCTCTGTGAATGAGTTAGTCTATAAGGTGAGTGAGGTAGGTAGCTGTGCTAGTCGGGGTAATTGCACCTTATAGACCATAGTCTCCCTCTGCCTAACTATAGTCCAATAAGATATAAATCTACCCTTGCTTTAATAGCAGAATGAGCCACAAATGTAACCTCAGAATCAGATCTGCACCCATGCTGCAGCTGGGGAGTGGGGGCTGGGAGTAGCAATGGTGGCACAGGTGCAGGTCCCATCGGCCTGGCCCAAGTGTGGGTACGAGGATAGCCTCTTGCTTCTGGAGCCACCCAGTGTACTCTGCACCAGGTTGTTCTGGCCCATGTCTTGTATAAAGCTGTCAGTCCCTGAACTAGATTATTGCTGGGAGGTTCTCACTAAAAATCTTTCATAGCCCAGAGGAGTCCGTGTGCACAAGCTTGTTGGTGCATGAAGCTGCAGAAAAGTTCAAAAAAAGAGTCCTGCTGCAATAAAACAAAGGGCTACGCTGCACGTTCTGTCCGCTCAAAGCCGGATGGGCGCGCAGCTCACGATTTCCCCTATGACAAGCTCACTCTGTAAGGCAGTAATACTACACCAAGGGGCCAAGGCACCCGAGGGGTGCTGCAGGGTGTCATGAGGTGCGAGGAGATCTTTAATTTTTTTTTTAATTTTGGAAAAATGTCTGTGTTCCAGGTCAAATTAGCCAGATCACTTCTGAATCCTTTTGACTGAACAAAACTCAACCGTTCAAACACCGTATGTGGCGCTGCAACCAGCAAGTATCCTCCACCCCAGACTTTTCAGCCTGAGGCTTCAGATACTTGCAAATCCATTGGCAGGCATCCTACGTGCGGGCCCTAGCCCGGAGGATTGGGGTTCAGATGCCCCCGAGTCTCACTTGCCCTCAGCCAACAGCCGCAGGAGCAAGCTATGGAGGAGTCCTCCATTTCCATAGAGTCGGCACATAGCCAAGATCCTCCCACTGGAAGCTGGGCAGTGGGAAGCGAATGATGAGGCTCTTGTAGGGAGTCCTGTTTGCATTTGGACAGGGCTGCACCCTCCACTACGCACTTCCATTTAAATCCAGTTCGGCTCAGGTACCTGACCAGTGCAGCGACTACACTTGATCTTAGCCCGCAAGAGGCCGAGAAACAGTGTGAGATCAGCATGTAAGCACACGTGGAGGTCCAGCCCTGCCTGGCCTCTCTCACCCCCCACTGCCTGGTCCTTCTGCAAGGGGGTACGCACTGTAATAAATAAGGTGGCTTTTGAAATGGGATGCCGCTCAATTCCCAAAAGTTATGGAAGGCGCCTCAAGTCTAAAGAGGCTGAGAACCACTGTTGTAAGATATGTATGTACTGGTTTGGTTTCCCTTTTTTAGCTTTGATTCCCAGTCCTTAACAGGTAGAGCCACCGCCATTTACACGTAAGGAACAGGAATTCACACAGTTCCAAATGTCCTCGTCACACAGAGATGAGCACACATGGTTCTCATACGTTCTGTATTTAGTATCAGATGACACGGTTTACCAAAAAAGAAAGATGAAGAGAGTATAGCTATGATGCCATTCATGGCTGTGTTGATATCACAGAAAGCACCGTAAATCTTGAGCAACTACTATTGTTATCACAAGCTCAAATTTTCCTTTCAGGGCATCCCCAGAATAAAAAAAAACTTCATGAATCTGGGCTCTAGACACATGTTCAAAATATGCATGTTGGGCTTTATTTATTTATTTTTTTATTTTCTATTGCTGTAGTAGTTAGAGGCCTCAACTAAAGTAAGGGATAGGTGTTATGCCTACACTTGGTAAGAGACTGCTCTAGAAAGTTTATAACCTCTAACTATGCAGCTGATCCAATAAAAGAGATCACCATCCCTCCCCAAATATCCTTATGTCTTGCACATAATCTCTAAGACAGATAAAGGTGATAGGGGAAACAGAAGAAGAGAGATGTTAAATGGCTTGTTCAAGGTTACATTCTTTCTCCTCTTTGTTCATAATAAAGTCGCTTAGCAAAACTGAGATCGTATTTGCTGAAGAGGTGCATCCATATTGACTGGATGGACACACTGCCTGGTTACCTTGCTTATAATACACGTGTAGTAGTTTTTTGTTTGTTTTTTTTAAAAAACAATGAACAGAACAAAACTTTCCTCTTCCTCTTTTTTCACTTTTGAACTTTTCCATCCCCGCAGATTCTCCTTTGCCAAATGTCTCCAGATCAGCAGCTCACGCCTCTTAGGCATGGCCAAACGTAGGTCTTCTATTAATTGTACTCCTTACGTTCTTCACCAGTATGGGGATTTTGACTTTTGTGGGTGGAAATACCACCTTGACTTTGCAGCTAACAATATGTACAAGATTACATTCACTACTAGTTGGCGATGTTACATGCCCTGTTCCATTGACTCAAACCGGTTTGGATTTAAGATTTTCAGCCATGGTTATAAAAAAGTAGAAAAAAAATCCATGGCAACAGCTTGTCATCAAAACTCATGGTCAGCTTCCTCAAAATTAAATGTTTTATTAGGCAGATAATGCAACTGAAATCTTTTAAGTTTTGGCCTCATGGAGAAGAGAAAGGCAGGGAAAGACATATTTTTCTTATGTTTTCATGGAGAATGCCTCCCAGCATTGGATCGACTCTTCTGCGGTTTGGTTATTTTGTTTGCATTGTAATCCTAGGTCTGGAACCCAGGGGATTGAGGCACCAGCTCCTACTGAATTTTAACGGGAGACAGCCAGATCACTCTTGTAGACTTTTTAAAAATCCCAGCCATGATGTCCCTCCGGAGAGTTCCCAGAGATAGAAATCAAGCATTCTTTGAAAAAATAAACTGAAAGAATTAAAATAAGTATTTCTTCCATTATTCTCGCCTTCGGTTACAGCCAGTTGTTCTGTGCACTGACGGTAGGGCTATGTTTACAACAAAGGCTTTTTTCTTGCATTCTCTATTGTAGGCAAGTGGTGGGTTGGGGATAGAAAATGCATGAGGCAGGGGGTCACCCACATAAGTGACAGAGAAGCAGGCAACAGGTCAGATAGGTTTTCCTTGCCTGCAGCTATTGGCAGACAGCACTGTGCTCTCTTGCTACAGCCCTCCCCTCCCTTGTGCGGCACGACTGTCAAAAAATTGAGGAAAACCTGCCAAGAGACACTCCTCTCAGCACTGGTGCTTGAAAAAGATACGTGGTCTCGTGCACATCATTGGAGACCTCAGAACCTTGGATTCAGCTTTTTTCTCCACCAGACTGACAGCTACCCCATTGCAATTGAAACGGGAACCTGTTCAAACCATTTAACCGCTTCTTTCCCTCTTCCTTATCTTACGGCTTTTCTTCTCCTTCTCTTTTATACAAATTGGCTTCGGGCTTTGTGGTTTGGTTTGGGGTTTTTTTGTTGTTGTTCCTTTGTTTTTATTTTAAGCATTTATTCACAGCTCACATCAGTTTTGATCATTTGATTGAGCCTAAAATACTGGCATACTACTTTGGAGTCAAATGAGGTCTGCTCTTTAACCTATTCAAATCAATCTGCCCCAGCTGCTGATAAAAAAAAAAAAATAATAAGTAGAGTGACGATTTACAATTTATCAAGCTAGCTACTCCAGGACACAGTACATGAACATAAGACAGGGCAACCATTGATTAAACATAGCCAGACTAATGGGCAAGTAAGTAGCAAGTAGCATTTCATGCTCTCAAAGCAGCTTCTTCTTCTCAGCCTCTGCAGTCTTGACACTGGGTTTCATTTATTAGCTACACAGCCTCTCAGTCCCTACATAATGTCAACTTTACATAAATACACATTTTTTAAAAAAGCCAAGACCATGCAGCAGCTTAGTTAGTAGTCTGCTGAAAGGGAGCATGCACTGAACATTTTTGCGAATGAGGAAATGAACACCGGAAATCAGGGACGACAGAATAAACAATCGAAGCTTAATTTAGAAATATCCCACCCCAAGGTTGAAAACGAAATTATCTGCTGAGACGAAGTAGAGATTAGTAGCAACTAAATAAAGATGAACATTACCAGTATTTTATTTTCTAATAAGTACAGTTACCACTCGCATGAAACTTTGATTTTTGCCAGCTTAAAACAAGAAGTCTTCCCTTGCTCACATTGAGAAGCACAAGCCACCCTCACGTGCAGTACGTGTGCTTGCATGACAAATGCATGCGTACACACATCACTGTCATGTAGGCACCACTTTGGGAAACAAACCTGAAAAACAATGTTTTAAATATAATACGTTGGACACAATTTGTTAAAGCAAAGGTATTTTTACTGGAAGGAAAACAACACTTGTTGTGTTCCTAAACAGGCATTTTATTTAAAAAAACAAACATTTTGTAGGTGATCCTCTATGAGCAGAACCACATAGCTCTGAATTGTAGTAAATCGAGTTGGAAAATCAGATCTCCCACTTCAGCAGTTTCCATTTTTAACAGGAACCCAGGGCACTCCAGGGCTTTAAACGCTCAGATAACACCCTGCACAAAACGTGAGCTCATTAGTTACCGCATATCTAGGCAAAATTAAAAATAAAATAAGTTACCTTATATATTAGTTGCATCTTTTAAGCGCAGAGGTGAAAGCAAAACGCGTGCCTGTGTTTGAAATACAGCAAAACTAGATACTCTCCCAAAGGATACAAGGACTGACTATGAAAATTCACAGGAGGATGACGACTTCGGCAGATTTAATACAATCTGACACAACTGTCTGGGTAACAAGGTTCTACATTGCCTGGAGCAAGGCATCTGTTGCCCTGTATGGTAGTTGTTCATCCATCAATTATTTCTGCTTTAAAAAACCCTATGTTGTACACTATTTTTCATGTATATTATATTCATTTGTATTTTCCTTAAAATAACTTGTTTTTTTACCTCTGTCCTAAGGTGACTTCAGTGCAAAATGAGAATGGATTATAATTTTATGTCATAACCCTACACAATGAAGAACAGCTAGAGGATGCATTAACAGAAGTGCATTGCTCCAAGACAAAAATGAAAGTGTCTAGCTACAGGTGCTTAAAGAAAAGAAAAAAAGAACTTTCTAATCTTTTCTCACATCATCTTGCCCTGCAAGCGACTCAGTAAGGTCAGAGAGAGCACTACCTACTGTTTTTAAAGGCCTGGGTTTGCAAATGCTTACTCATCCTGAATACTCTGTATTGGAACTACTTATCTGAATAGCATGCAACATAGGCAACGATTACCAACCTCGGCCCAGGCACAACAGGGGTTCCAGCATAACTGACATCAAAACCTTTATAAAGTTTTCCTTTGCAGGTCATTGACACTGATGATTACAGGTTGGATTCAGAGATGAACCCAGCACCCTACCGAAAAGGGGAAACTGGTGTTGACTGTTTAAGATGTGCTATTGGCAGAGAGGAATAGCTGTTGCATATACAAAAATAAAACAGAAAAAGGGAGGCTTGGGTAATGCTGTTTATATACAGAGTTTAGAAAAGCAGGCTGAGAAATGAGCAGAAAGAAATGGAGATTGGGGATAGAAAGGTGTATCTATACACGTGAAATGAATGCTCTTGCTGATACGGTACTTCACAATCTATCACATATTTAACAGAATTATATAACTAGGCCACGACAATACATGTGTAATCCAGGAACGTGTGCGAGTCTCCTGAAAGGTGCTAAATGTCCTCAGAGATCTGAGAATACACAGCTTAATCCAGGACTGGATCTCAGGGCTGTGAAGTTGCATTATGAGAAATAAGTTCA